GTTACAAACAGAAAATGAATTAAGGAAAACAATAAAAACATACATGATACAAACAGAAAACAGAAAATCTATACAGGAAAACAATAAAAACATACACGATACAAACAGAAAACACAAAATCTATAAAGGTAAAAACAATAAAAACACATACACATAACAGAAAAACCATTCGGGGAAAACATGACAAAAAACTAAAAGGCACAATCTACCACACTGTGGAACATTCCGGCACCTAATCCATGCCTGTAAACTCCCTGAGCCAAGACACAGGCAGGCATGCTTCCAACAACAAAAATACCCCCAAAACTGAAGAGCAATTAATGGTTCTCCCCCCAAAAAAAATCTGGAACAAAACACACAGACTGGATACTAGGAAAAATTACAGAAAAACTGAATGGGATGAAACAAAAGGGGAGTAAAAAAAAGACGCTTAGAGGAAAAAAGCAACAAAAATCTTATACTAATAATAATTGCATATATCGCAAACATCTGCATATTACTGCATGCTCTATATGTTTTACAACTATCATTACCCGAGCAGACCCTACAGAACACCCAGAAAAATTATCCGCATTCCGGGAAGCATACACTGAAAAAAAGCAGCCAATTAAGCGCTCATACACTAACAAACAAACAAGATCTTTCGCTGTCTACAGCTGGGTACCCATTCCCACCCGGGCGAAGTGAGGAAATTTTTGTGTGAGGTGCCTTTCCCCTCGTTCACAACGTCAGGCCCCTGATGGGGTTTGAGCCCATGACCTTTTGGTTACCACCTCAACAGTCTAACCGCTAGACCATCAACTGTCACAGCTAAAGTCCACAGCTCTTGCTTTTCTACAGGGGCTTACGCAACATTATAGGTCGTTCTAGAAAAAAACGATCACTGCCAAAGTCTACATTTCTAGAGTATAGGTCACTGCCAAAGTCTACCAAATACAGGTAACTGCCAAAGTCTACCCTTTTAGAATATAGGTAACTGCCAAAGTCTATCCTTCTAGAATATAGGTAACTGCCAAAGTCTAT